GAAAGACCATGATAAAGACTCTAGCAAACTAGCAAATGAACCATCAAGTAACATAAAAGAAGCTTTATTTGCTCTTAAATCTGCTCTTGCTGATCATGATGAACTATGTTATGCTTTAACTTGTACATCGCCTATATGTCCACTTGGTCCTGCTTCTAGCACTATGCCTCTTGTTGTTACTAACCTTTTGCAGGAGGAGGAGGGTGAATTCCAAGCAGGTAGAACACCATGGCAGCTGCCTTTGTGAAGGATTGGGCGCCAAGATGAACGTCTTCTTCCGGAGCCATCATTGCTGTCATCCAATGGAGGAGACGATCTACTTCAGTAGAGGACGACTTCAATTCAAGAAAGAGAGGATGATGAGGACATCACTCCATCACATACAAGCCAAGGAGAGGAGGAGGTCCAGCATGGGCGTCCAATTTATCTTCCTCATGGTGGAGGCCCAGTCCAACTAAAGTTGGAGCTCATCTCGGGTTTTAGGACCAGTCTGTCATAAAATTGGTCAAACGGGTGCGTCCGTGCTCCGTTTTCAACGATCCACATATGGATGGAAAGCTAATTAGATAAGAAAGCCAATGCAAGTGATATAACATCAAAAGCCCTTCAGAATCAACGGGAATCGTCGAAACAAGTCAGCGTCCAGAATCTGCCAGGGTACTGCGACACCGTCTTTTGATCCGTTGGACCGTGTATCGTGTGTGCCATTAGGGGCACGTCTAGGGGGGTGATGTCCAATACTCTATAATTAGCAGCCATCGCTCTCCTTAGGGTTTGGATTTTGTTTAGTTCTTGATTTCCTCGTGAAACAGACGTCGTTTTGCTGCAACTGTTCCACCAAGGCCGCTTGCTGTGAACCAGGGCCCCGTTCTTGATCTTGTTCGCATGTGGCGATTAGTCTTTTCGAATAAAGACTTAAACTCCTTTCCGTTATCATAAGCTTCATATTTATTTACAATTTCAGATTGCGTTCATCCCGTTCTTGCTTGTGTTCTCGATTCGCTTGCAGGAAAAAGCCTTCTCGGCGAGGTCAATCGCGTTCGAGTGGTTGATAACCAACAGAGTAGTGGTATAACGGTTACGGGGGTCCGAATCAGTCTTGGTTCGAAGCCTAGATCGTGAACGTCGAGTCTCCACCAATCGACGCTATCATACCTATCGGAAGATCGGGGCTTGTCTACATCAAGGATTCTCCTATTTAGATATAGTAGATTCTTGTCAAATTGAATGATTTTATATTTTTTACTGAATATAATAACTACTATTCTATCAAAAAACACAAATTTGATTGGATTTTATTTATTCATAAATTAGTCGTGATTTTACATTATGCCGTCACACACACGTGCTGGATAAGTATCGTCAAATGGAGGAGTATTTATAACAAGGAAAAAGAGGGCGGCACACTATCAACAAGATGTGTATGTGCACGTATACAGACCAAACACAAGTTTGTAGAACAAGAGATGCGCCACTAATGAGAACAATGTACTCCTTCCATCCCAAATTGTAAGACGTTTGGCTTTTTTGGCCACAAGTTTGACCACTCATCTTATTCAAAAAATTTATGCAAATATAGTCAAATTTAAGTCATTCTTGAAGAATTTTTATTAATAAACCAAACCACGATGAAAGAAGTGATATTTTACATAAATTTTTAAATAAGACGAGTAGTCAAACTTAGTGTCAAAAAAATCAAACGTCTTACAATTTGGGATGGATTGAGTAATTAACAACTCATTCGTAACAAATATCTAAGCTCAAAACCTTTAGTACAGGTAGAGTAAAAAATGGGGACTCATATTTTTGGTCTAGCCTCATGATGGTAAAGCAAGATTTCTTTTGATTTGGATTCTTTGTGGTAAAGGATGGATCATAAGTAAGTTAGTGGGAAGATAAATGCCGGATCAATAACCATGTATTTACAGTATAGCCAGACCTAAACATGTCCTTATAGCTGAGGTTCTCTTTGGGCAATCACCAAACCTAGCATGGCGTAGAGACCTTATAGGTCCTAAGTTAGTATCTTGGAATAATCTATTGTCTAGTCTTACATAGATAATACTATACAATTGGTCCATGACCAGATGTGTTTCAATAAAATTTGTGTGGACAATTCTTAGTTAAATCACAATACAAACCATTATATCCCCAATCTTAAAAAAAAACTGCTACGGAAAATAAATGCCTCTATAAAATAAAAAAAATTATGGTACTTACGATGAGCAGTCATGTTGACAAAAGGTAATCTAGCTAAGTGTAACTGGCAAGGTAGCAAAACTTGCTTGTCACAAAAGAGGTAATTAGGGCATGTTTGGATTCCTACCTCTAAATTTTAGAGACCTCTAAACTTTAGAGCACTTTAGCTCACTTTTGATGTCTAAAGCTTTAATGTGAGGTGGGCTAAAGTTTAGAGCTCATTTTAGACCACCTGTTTGGAGCTTTAGCTCTAAAGTTTAGAGTGGAGGATCCAAACAAGCCCTTAGGCACCTGTTCTTTGACAACCGGCTTGTGTGGGCTGGTTAGACAATTATTCGAGTGGTGACAAGACTAAGGCTGGCTAAGGGGTTTTAGCAAGGTTATGAGACCATTAATTTCGCTAGGAGCATCTACAACCTGTTAGTCACTATGTCTTAGTAGAAATGATATTATTTTTAAAAGAAAAAAAATGTTTCTGCTATGCATGTTATTTGCTTGGTTGCCCGCTGGCTATGTACTTGAGCTATCATGCAAGAGCAGGCATCACAGGATATTGTTGTGGCGGTCTCGTAATAGTCAGTGCGGGTGGTCAAGGATATCTTCTCTCAGGAATTTGGGTGTCATTCTAGTTTATGAATTGATAGTCACTAGAATGTAGGTCAGAAGTACTTGTTGAGGATTTATATCAACTAGATGTAATGTTTTCGTTAAATTCTCAAAAACATACATGGCATGCATTTCTAAATGGTAAACAAGTGCAAGAGGGACAAGATGGGTGTCTTCCTTGAGACATGAAACGCCCCATTGGGAGCGGCCTTACACCTAAGGTGGACGTAATATAGCTACAGGATGATGCTATTGGAAATTATATCAGGAAGGGGAAACTCAGAAGAAGATTGCACTAGTGATAGAGGTCAGGCTACTTATTTTCATATGCAGGTTGCAAGCTTCTTGAGGGTGATGTCGAATAGTTTGGTAGATCGAGAATTAGTTGGTGACGTCAATTTGGTGGAAGTACCGATCAAAAAAAAAATTTGGTGGAAGTGGAAAGAGTTCGCAAACTTGCCTGTTGGTGCATTCAGGACAACGAGTTCCAACGACCAACTATGAGCGAAGCGGTCCAGATTCATAGGGGTGTACTGGAAGTGAATATGCCCCCAAATTCCAAGACCAATCCATCTGAAAACTTTGAACTCAGCAAGACTGTAGCACTAGTTAAAAGGGATCGTCGAAATGATGATGAAAAATTAAATCATTGTAAGTATAGCAGTAATTTAAATGTTTAATCTTTTGTGTAGATGTGCATTTCAAAAGCTGATGTAGCTATTAATTTCCCAACACCTTTGTGTATGCACATGCGTGTGAAACAGTACAGGTAGCATCCAAAACGATGATGGAGCTAATTGTAAGCTTTGATGGGGAACTGAAACAATCTGATTTATGCTGCAACTATCATTGCCGTTGTCAATTTTCAGATAACTTAAGAAAACAGGCTTTTTTGTTTGCATTTCATTTGATAAAAACTACCAGGTATTTTACGAGCTATGATGCCAACCCGAATTAACTAGACGAAAAGAAATATCAATATAAGGTGTAACCTCTGCCAAAGTGTCTACTAGGATTTTAAGTATTCACCATCGATGCACAGCTAATTTTGTTCATAATTCATATGGCCATTCAATCCACTTGAGTAAATGCGTTCGATGAGAGCCACCCCAGCCGATCAGCCTATGTCCGAGAAGTCCCACGGAAGCACAGTGCAAGCAGCATCAACATGGACATGGGAGGCACATTGCCTGGGCCCTAACAGGGGCTCGCCAGATGATCAATTTGCGACTGCCATATTGCAGGGGCTCGCCACATGATCGATTTGCGACAGCCATATTCAGAGTTTGGTTTGTAATAAGGGAAATGCATATATCAGGCGCCTGATTTTTTCCTTTCATTCAGGTGACAAATCTCAGCCGATCCAACGCTCCAGACCGTTCCTATTTATCTTCTTCGTTCATCCAGTAGCCTGACCCCACGATTCATCTTCTTGGTTCATCCAGTAGCCTGACCCCGCTGTTGGGCAAGCGCATGACCCCGCCGCCGCCGCTGCCCACCGCCGCTTTACTCTCCAACTCCGGCGAGAACGGCCACACACACACCCCGACCTCAGTAGCCTGACCCCGCCGTCCGGCGAGCGCATGACCGCGCCGCTTTCCTCTCCAACTCCAGCGAGAACGGCAGCGACACCCCACGCCCAACGCCAGGGCCCGAAGCCACTGGCCACCATCCCCACCGCTTAGCCTGACTACCTCCCAATAAACCACTGGAGTTGGAAAAGAAAGGAGGCTTAGCCTGCCTACCTCCCCATAAACCACTGGAGTTGGAAAAGAAAGGAGAGACCGAAGATGCTACGCAAGCACAGGCGCGGGCGAGGGAGCTGTCGTGTGTTGTAATATAGCCTTTGAATGGCAAGGACCGATCCCGACGATAGCTGCAATTTGCACCCACGACGAATACCAATAAAACCTCAAGTGCTTGGCAACACAAAATTCGTACTCACGGAGTTCAAATGGGAATGAAACAAGATTCAGACATGTTGCATGGCTGATGGCTGCGGCTGCAGAAAAGATTTGTATCCACAGACCACAATACACAAGTCCAGCTATCTTGAAGAGTTCAAAACCAGCCGAGAACAACAATGACATCAAAAAGACTCCCCAAGTTTTCTCACAAGCCTATCGAGCTTAGTGCTAACAAACTCCCAAAAACACCAAAAATTTGATTTGACAAAGATCAGAACCCTGGCAGATCTAATCGTCGTCCTCCACAAGCTTGGTACTCAGGCCCTTCAGCCCTTCCAGGGGGATCTCAGCAACGGTGACCAGAGAGTAGAGCTCTTCCTTGGCGTCTTCCTCATCATTCCTCTTGCGTGCGATCCTGACGCGGACGCGCCTCGGCACACTCCGGATACCACTGCTCCAGACGTGCTTGTTGAGCTTCACATCGATCCTGACGTCCGTGGTGCCCATTGCCTTCTGCGCGAACTTCCTGATTTCCTTGACAGCATTGGGGGCTTTCTTCTTGAAGGTGCTGCAGGAAATCAGGATGAGCTGCCAGTTATTGATAATTGGTTTGAAACAAGTGGCATATCAGCATATATGTAATCTATATGCAGACTGGAGAAACATTGTGCAAGGACGGAGAACATGAAAAATCATTTCAAAGATAAAGCATCAAAAATTGAACAAGACAAAGGACTAATGAAACACAGAAAGTGAAAGGACATCCAATGGTCCTGTGCTGCCCCTTGTGCTCTACTAAAAGCATGTGCAAACAACCATCCAGCTTATGAAACACAAGTAAAAGGACAGTGTAATCAAGGAACGTAGGGCACAAACGACAGCAGCACACTTGTACAACACAGGATGCAGCTTCAAAGCATGATTCACAATTCAGAAGTCCCCACAAAAACAAAACAATGTACCAGAAAAGGAACAAACGAAGTGAGCATCAAATTAGAGATATTTCCTGCCCAAATGGAACACATGGCAGCATGTCAAGAGCCAACACATGTAACGATGAGCAGATTCCACTCTGCCGGGCATGTAACTGTGCACAGCCACATGTTTAAAAAGACAGGCACCTGACTATACCCGGAAGCTAGTAAACTACATATTCAAACAAGGAGTTGCAACATAATCAGAGCGCAAGTCCAATTGCAGCACACTAGCTCAACATCTATATACAGGCCAACCAGAAAATGTGTGGGTAAACAAAGAACAGTGCAAGATCTGACCTTTGTGCCAGCAGGCATGTGATTTCATCGATATATAAAATATGTTGCTTGCTTGCAGTTGGCTCGCCTAATTGTGATATCCAGAACAAAACTGATAAACCTCATGTATTGAGCACGTTGACAGAATAAGACAATACACCAGCACATCATCATGGAACAAAAGGCACAATTTTTTTTTTTTGATGAAACAGGAGGGGTTTTACCCCCTACTGGAATTTTATTAAAAATAACAAATTGTTGCTATTTGTATGGTACAAAAGGCACAAATTGCTGCTATTTGTCTTGCTAACAATCTGGGGTATATATACCAAGATGCAGCAGGTAGGATATATATACCTAGATGCAGCAGGTATCACAACGAATGTAACTGGCAGCAACGCATCTTCCATGGGGACACAAACAGCAGTATCATACTTTTACAACAGAAAACAGAAGTCCTAATACCAGAGGTACCTGGACAAAACGTGACAAACACATCGAACAGGCCAGCCACTGGGGGCGTTGAATTAGAGCAATTTCCTGCCCAAATGTAACACATAGTAGCATTTCAAAGGAGCAACACGTGTAACGATGAGCAGATTCCAATGTGCCGGGTATGTAGAGTGCACAGCCACAAGGTTGAAAGACGGGCACTGGACTATACCCGGAGGTCGCAATTGTTCCAGAAACAATCAGAGAACTAGACATTTGCAACGTGCTAGCCCAATATGTAGAGATTAATCACAAGGAAATGCAAGTTCGCACATGCCGGCACCCCCCAATCGATTCGTTCCCACCCCAAAATCTACCACCATGAGATTGCAAGGAAGATCCGTTCGTAGCAAGCTTCGCGAGATCACGTTCGGGGGGGAGACGGGAGAGGCAAGGGTGCGGAGGTGTCGGCAACTATACCATCCGTGGAGGCGCTTGTGGAGGTTGATGGTGTACTCGCGGGTGACAACCTCGTCCTTCCTGGCCCCTCCTGGGCGCTGCTTCCTCTCCGCCATCGCGCTCCCTCCCTGCCTGCTCCTCCAACGGCCGTTGGTGACGGCGGCGGCAAAAGTGTGAGAAACCCTAGGCGTAGCTCCGCGTGGTCTTGTTGGATCGCGTCGTTATATCAGCGCTTTGTCTTCGAATTGGGCCGGACGGATGGGGCTGGGTCCATCCTTTTGGAAGCCCATCACCAGTTGAGCGATGGGTGTGGGTATTTGGCGGGTACTGTATCCGATGAATGTGGTCAACTTTCAAAACTAAACAAATTACCCACTCAAAGAACGCAAAGTCTATTTAGGGCCTGTTTAGTTCCCTCCAAAACCCAAAAAAGTTTACACAGTATTCATCACATCGAATCTTGTGTCACATGCATGGAGTACTAAATGTAGACGAAAAATAACTAATTGCACAGTTGGGTGAGAAATCGCGAGACGAAACTTTCGAACCTAATTAGTTTATAATTAGACACTAATTATCAAATACAAACGAAAGTGCTACAGTAGCGAGAAAAAAAAATTTGGATCCAAACGCGCCCTTAGCGACCTGTCGCGCTCCGTGGCTATCGCGCGACCCTCTACGACGGGCCGGCCCAGTAGTTCCTCTCCCCTACACCCGCGCACCCAGCTGCTTTTTCGTTTTGTTCGGGCAGGGAGCATCGCGACCCTGCTGAGCGTGTGCGCCGCCTGCCACCGCGCGCCCGCCGCTGTGCCGGATCTGCTCCGGTCGCGCGCCCGCCGCCGGCTGGCACGCTCGCCCACGGATGCCCCCCCCGAAAACCCGAGCAGGCTTCGGCCCTGGCCGCGCCATGGCCGGCCGCGAGGGCCATGGCCATCCGCCGCGCAAGCTCCGGTTGGCGACCGTGGCGCCGCGCGCGGCCGCGCCGAAGGGTGGCGCGTTGGCCGAGCCGCCGGCAGGCGCCTTGGCGACGGATCTTACCTTGGACGGCTTCTTGGCGGGCGCGGACTTCACCGACGCCGGGGGCTAGACGCCGAACAAGTCGTTGGGCTGCAGCACGCTGTCGACGGAGTAGACGGCGAGCGGCTGCACCGCGCGCAGCGTGGTGCCGAGACAGGTGGCGACGAGGCTCGTGGACACGTTCACCTGGCTGTTGCTGTGGGCGGTGATGTTAAGCGTGTAGGGCCCGTCGGAACTCGACGCCTGCATGCGCACGGGGTTGCTGGCGGTCTCGAAGGAGTAGAACTGCGGAAGGACGTGGTACTGCACGAGCGACTATTGATCCTGCTGCGACAGCTTGTTTAATTTGCAATTCAATTTTGTAATTTCAGTTCCTAATTTTAGTTTGCAATTTCATTTTATAATTTTAGTATTAAATTTCAGTTCTGCAATTTCATTTTGTAATTTCAGTTTTCAATTTCATTTTGAATTTCAATTGTGTTAGTAATTTCATTTTCTAATTTCAGTTTACAATTTCATTTTGTAATTTCAGTTTTTAATTTCAATTTAGCAATTTTATTTTTAATTTCAGTTTTCAATTTCTAATTTCAGATTGTAGAACAAGTCTACCTATGTTGTCATTTTTAATAATTTATTCGGTCTACAGCTTATGCAATGCTTATTTTATAATTTGCCACTTGTCATTTTTAATAATTTATCCATATGTGCAGATTGTCTTGTTTCATTTTTTCTTTTAATTTCAGTTTAAATTTTCATGTGTTTGGAAGTCATAATTCTCAGAATTTGTCATTTCACGATATCTTGCCACTTGCTCCAAATATAACTTGCTACATATTTTGTAATTAAACTTTCCACACATATCAACTTAGCAACTTCAATTTGTAATTTCATTTTCCAATTTGAGTTTGCAATTTCATTTTGTAATTTGTCATTTTCAGTCTCATTTTCCTTTAATTTCATTTTCATTTATTTCATTGTGTATATTTTAGTTTTTAGTTTTATTGATATTCTAGTTGTCAGTTTCCGTTTTAATATCTAATAATTTATGTTTTATTTTTTATATTGTGTCTACTTTAGTTTTCATTTTTCATTTTTTATTTGTCATTTTCATTTTTATTTTTTGGTTGTCATTTTCAGTTTTAGTTTATGGTAATTTCAGTTTTTGTTTCATTTCTATTTTTTTCATTTTTTTCATTTAGTTTTAGTTTTATGAGGTTTTTAAAAATGTTTTTTATTTTTAGTTTTTAGTATTTTTTTCATTTTTTAGTTTAATTTTTTAGTCAAGCTTTTTTAAAAAATTTAAGTTTCAGATTTCAGTCACCCTTTTAGGTTTAAATGTCTTCCTAAATCCTGCATATTAGTCGCTTCACCTACAATATATAAGTTGTTATAAAAGAGTAGCCATTGCACACATAAGTTGTCACAAACGAATTTATTCCCTGGTTTCAGTTTCAGTCATATTTTTTCATTTTTTTAGTTTCAGTATCGAGTCACATTTTTTAAAATATTTTTTAGCTTCAGTTCTCGGTCACACTTTTAGGTTCGAATACATTTCTTAATTCTTACATATTAGTTGTATAATAACTTACCCTCTAAGTTGGCACCCTATGTAATGCTTCTTCTAATAATTTGCCCCTTAGGGTACGGTTTGTCTTATTTTGAGTTGCTACTTTTGTCTTTTAAATAAATGTCCCTTCAATTTTCAGCTAGTCATGTTTCACTGCTTATATAGTGGGTTTTATAATAACTTGGCCCTCTAGTTTGCAGCCTATGCAATGCTTGTTTTAATAATTTACCATCGGTTGCAACTTGTATTGTTTTGTATCGCTACCCTTATTTTTTAATAAATGCCCCTAGCTGGCAACAAGTCATGTTTTTTAGATTTTTGTAATTTATTGTATAATAACTTGCCCTCTAATTGGCAATGTTTATTTTAATAATTTGGCCCTCCAGGTTGCAGCTAGTTTTGTTTTCGTCCATTACTCTTTAGGGGGTTATTACCTTTATGTAAATAATACTATATAACAAATTTATCTTATTTCTATGGTAACAATCGATGCGCATACCATGTAAAAACTTTAGTATATTTTTGGAGTAGCAAGTTTAGTATTACATGGTAGCAACTCATTTCATAAATCTCCTAACATAATTTTACGAGCTCTTTTACAATGGTTGGGGGTACTTCTTGGTTCCTAAGCAACTTATTAGCTCTAATTAATTTTATGAGTGGAATGTTAGTATTGTCATTGCGGCTCCCCCTCCCCACGCCACCCCTCGCCCAGGCGCAACCGAACCCGCACGCGGCGAGGCCGAAGGACGCGAGGCTGCCCGGCCCTCGCACTCGCCATCGCCATCGCGCGTCGCCGCCGCCGGCCTACCCTCGCCCTCGCCCGGCACCACCGCCGACAGCTTGCCCTGCCCTCGGCCCTAGCCATGGTCGCCTCGCCCTCGCCCTCGCCCTCGCCATTACGCGGCGCCTCCGCCGCCGGCCTGCCCTCGCCCGCGCTAACTCTGCCTCGCCCGCGCTCGACCGCTGGCCTACGCTCGTCGTGCGCTTGTAACTTTGCCTCGCCCAGGCGCGCTCGCCGGCTAACCGCCCGAGAACACGACCGTGCGGTCGTTCTTCTCGATCAGTGTACACGATCTCCTTGTGTGTCTCCACCCGAGGACAAGCCGGCTACTCTGATCAGGGAACCGGCTAGGTGATTGAGTACGTGATCTCCTTGTGTGTCTCCGGTCTCCGTAGCACTGGATTGCCCAGTCCAGAAGATTGGAGGGACCGGCTGTGGAGGACAGGTAATCGTGGATCAAATTTGTGTCTCCAATTTATGAGCTGACTCTTGTCGGATTGAATAGATCGGTTCATTCAATATGAGTGCATCCTGTCCAATTTCTAGTCTATAATAACTTACATGATCATGAAATTGTTTTTGAGATTAGATTGTGGTCTGAAACTTAAATTAACTGTTCATTAAATGGTACTGACTCTTATCCATTCTTACCCTATTGATTACGTCCCCAATTTATGGAGTCACCCTTATAGATTCTTGAACCAGTTCATTCATTCAATGGGACTGAATGTTGTCTAATTTTTGGCGGTCAGTTTCTCCTCTGTGCAAACTTGTGCCATGTCTAGAATGACAAACCCCGTGTTTATAGTGTTTGCCGTGTTTCATTATTTCATATTCATATTCTGACGTCTGTTATTTCCTCCTACCTACTATTGAAAAGTGTTAGTTGCAGTTTATTTGTACTGTTAGCTAAAATTTGCACAAGGTTACTTTTTTTTTCGAATGGTAGTAGATTCCTGCAATTCTACTATACTTTAGTAGAGCAGTGGGTTTTACTGAATTTGATGAAGGTTGCACGATTAGGTATCAGACATTCATACAAGAAAGATGAATATATGTTGAAAATCGCTGACATGTGTACTAGTGTGGGCATTTTATCTTCTTTGAGTGCAATAGTTTTAAGTTCTAACTACAGAACAGTACACATCTTTTTTGAGCAACAAGGAACTACTGTCAATAACATAGTGTAATGAAGAAAGCAACAGTTTGTACACATTTTCAGAAGATCCATCATAATCGAATTTGCTTCGATATAATATAGGAAGCATCTTATGCTAAAAATAACATGAATGACAACTTCACTGTCCTAAAATACAAGCCATCTTGTTGCAGCGAGGGAAGTGTGACTGATATATGATGAGAAGAAGGCTTTCAATTTGAAAGGATCAAGATGTCTAAGAGGGGGAGGGGTAAATTACGCTAATTCTAATTTTTTGCAATACTTAAGTCCTACACTTAGCCCATTTCGCCCCTTATGCCTAAAATGTGTTTCTATCGCTTTCCTGCACAAAAGGTTTGCACCCTAGGTTCCAATCCTACTCTAGCATGACAATTCTAGGAATATAAAGACATGAAATGAATTGCTCAAATATAAATGCTCAAAATAAAGAGAGGAAAAGGAACACGGCGATGTTTTCCCGAGGTATCGAAGAGTCGCCACTCCCCACTAGTCCTCGTTGGAGCACCCACGCAAGGGTGTAGCTCCCCCTTGATCCGCGCAAGGATCAAGTGCTCTCTACGGGTTGATT